GCACTCTACCCAGGGGGACAGCTTGAGGCTCTGTCTCAAAAAAAAAAAAGTAGACATATAACCAAATGCATCTGAATTGACACAAGAGAAGTAACTTAGCTTTTCAAATGCATGTCATGAGTTTCTAGAGCCTTGAAGTAACAACCCTGTTATCACGGTGTCACACGATTGTTCTGAGGGTTGCTTCCTGCTTACGTAGGAAACTATTCATGTATTACTCAGCAAATGAGCATCACCATTACATAAATAATCAGGTATCCAAGAATGTTAGCAGGCTTGATTCATTCATGTGAGCAATTAAGCAAGTTGTATTATGAAAAGCACATTGCAATTCAGCATTAAGTTCAGTGTCTCATAGGATGATTCATTAGATTGCATTTGTAACCTAATTTGTTAATAAGTTTATGGGAAGCCAATTAAGCCAACTGCTCATCTATATCGTTCTACCTTCCTCCTCGTGATCTCATGACTTCCATTAGAAGAAACATGTCAGACTCTTCTTCCTCCACAAAGAGAGTTTTAAAATTCACTGTTTAACAGGCTCCTAAGAAACTGTGGTCTATAGTAATTATTTGACACCTACCAGAAAGACCTAAGTCTTTGCACTTCATCCATTTAGAATTCAGTTATGGCAGCATTACTAATCTAGAGAAAACCAGGAGAGATGTTACTAATGCTTGTCCTTCATTCAGCAGGGAGTCCCCCAGGTCCCCATTTTCAGAGTCTACTTACTCTTATTTCATCCCCAATTCTAACAAGCTTGGTTATCTGGTTTCTGCTCCTGAGCAAATCACAAGTATTGAAAAGTCCTACGGGTGTCAGTGGGCTACATACACTGAGGCTGGCTGGTTCGATCCAGGCCTGGGCCAGCTAAAACAACAATGGCAAAAAAAAAAAAAAGGAAAAGTGCTACAGAGGTAGATAAACAATAAAATATGATAGCAAACAGCAGAGGAGGGAACCAAAAATAAATTTAAAAGGGAACGTTAAAAGCATAGCAGCTTGAGACAGTTTAATACCTAGGAAACTATAGCCTCTGAGCACATCACTGTGATCAAATTACACAAATGATTTGTAGTGGTGAATTTGAATCAACTAGTATGTGATACTTAAGGCAGAATATGCATTGCATTCAGTGATTCCAGTTCCCACTTTAAGTAGTTAAAAGCTTGGTGAAAAATTTATGTAGAAAATATCTCAACTCATTCCCTGAGATTTGGAGGCTTTATGGTAGGAAGTTTTTCCATTCAATTGAGACATTTTTTCAAGTTTAATAACTACATAATTTAATTTGTTAAAGTATGAAGAAAATGAAATAAAGCAAGAGTGATTTAATGTCAGGAAACAATTTACTACATCTTAAAATTTCCTGTGATTTTCTTTTCATTTCCTTTCTTCTCTCCCTCCCTCCCTCCCTCCTTCCTT